TTTCTAATTTGTGCTTATATTTATTTGGTCATCAGCATCTGTCTATAATTAAAAAAGGGGGTAGATATATGGTGTTGTTTCAGCTCATACACTTTCTCATCTTACAGAGATCTGGAACAAATTCACTCTGCAGATATCAACATTGTGAAAGAATTAGGTGTGTGCAGAAGGAATTCAGCATTGGATTCTTGAACGGCAGGACAGGAGGAGGAAATGAACAGAAGATATTTGATAGATACAGACTGAAGATAAAGATTGAAAAGCAAAATAGTCAGCATCCTTCTAGGTCAGCTTTTATTGACCTTCTTTTGCTTATCTCGCTGGTTTGAGGGAAATATCTTTTAAAGTTTTATTTTAGGCAAAGAAATTGTTTTGGAACGTTGCTGCAGGAAACTGATTAACATAACCTATTGTAGCTGAGAAGGAACATAACTGTATTAGGTTCCAGTTATTTGACTAGTCCATCCATTGCCCTGTTATACTTTCCATCCACATACAGTATTGAGTAATTGAGTTGGCACTCTCAATGGTCATGGTGAAATAAACATGAAACCCTTCCCACAAGCACAAATGCCTGATGACCTGCAGGAACTCGGGCTTTGGCTGGAAGCCGTCATCTATTAACAAATCCTCAACCATCTGGCTGAGCTCTGTGAGGATCTTATGAAAGGCCTGGTTAAACTCTGACTGTGTCAAGACAGAACTGTTGAAGGCCAAGCCCCTTACCAGCTGTAACTCAGTCTCTCCCCAGCCTATTGCAGGCAGGCCAGCAAAGGCCAAAGTCACAGTTGTTGCAGAGAAGAAGATATTCTTATTGTTAAGAATCTGGCTGAGCTGCTAACAGCTTGTACAGATAGAAGATGAAATGTTTATGTTTATATGCTGTGACCTTAATAACTGTATGATTTTGCAGCAATGTAAAATACATTATGTATTATCCCAAAGAGTTTATGATATATTGATATCAAACATCATAAAAAAGGGACATTTATGGCACATTTGGTTCCATACAGTACTGTCATCTTCCTAATGTTACTCCATCTCTGCCTTCTCCAGGTTACCTGTACATAGCTATCGAATACGCTCCCTATGGTAACCTTCTCGACTTCCTGAGGAAGAGTAGAGTCTTGGAGACCGATCCTGCTTTTGCCAAGGAACATGGCACTGCTTCCACCCTCACCTCCCAGCAGCTGCTGCAGTTTGCTGTAGACGTGGCAACAGGGATGCACTACCTAAGTGACAAACAGGTAGGCGGAGAGGGAGCGTGTATGTGGGTGGCTGCTTGTATATTTCCGTGGGTGAATTACTGTGTTTTCTTGAAATTTTATTACCTTTATACTTTAAAATTTCTTACAAAATGCTCTTCATCAAGTTTCCCCACGACAGTTGATGTTGATAATGTAATTGACTTAAATACTGAACAAACTGTTTCAATTCAATAACTTCAGATTAACATTTAATTATATGGCCTTCTAATGGGGCAGACGTGTAATAATGTACTTAAACCAGTTGTGCATTTCTTACTTTCTTACTGCAACAAAATCTATATATTACATGAACTGCGCTTACTACTTCTTCTTTCAAAGTAATATACTTAACACAGCATTTAATACATGATGTAAAAAAGATCACACCTTTAAAAGTTTAGTAATTTAAAAAAAACTCAAATAATTAAAAAAAATGCAATAATTAGGGCTATTTCATTATTCAGATTTGTCATTATCACTTACTACATTGCCTTTTATGCTGTCAAATCACTGTACATTGGCTCATCATAAGAACAGCACGTTGAAGATGTATATTCAATAAAACAAAACATTTTAATAAATGTTTATTTTTTTGCTACAAAAATGTAACTTCTGTTTCAACATAGATAATGTCATATATATCATGATGTTTCTGTGTAAAGGATACATGCATTAGAGCTAGTATAATTAACAGTAAAAATGCCTCTCCTCTCTTCTCCTCTCTTGGTACTAGTTCATCCACAGGGATTTGGCAGCCAGGAATGTCCTTGTTGGGGATAACCTTGTGGCAAAGATAGCAGACTTTGGCCTGTCCCGCGGTGAGGAAGTTTATGTTAAGAAGACAATGGTGAGTGGTGTCGTCATACACACAGCCAACAGAGGGCACTAGTTGTTTGGAAGACAAACAGTTTTGTATGCAATGTATTTCCACTTTAAGAGTGGATTAATGATATTGCTATCAGCTGCTATGACAACAGTTGTTGCAATGTGCACATTTCTCACATGTTGAAAACAATAACTAAAAGTTCTTCTTTGAGATAGCAAAAGACTAATCAGTTGCACATACAAACTGTAACAGACAGTTACCATTGGATCTCTGCACATTATATAAATGTGACACCACAGTTTAATAGTTTTAGTCAGTTATTTCAAACATCTGTCAATTTGTAGTCTGCCACAAAATCATTTTTACTTTATCAGTATACCATTGTGAAAAATACTATACTTAGAATAACCTATTTTTAAGATGAATTGCTTACTGCTACCAAGATTGGCAGTTATTCACTAGAATCATGTCAAATTAAATGCAATTAAACAGCCCAAACAAGATTTTTCTTTGTTTAAATCTAGTTTGGGTTGGTTTTTACCACAGACAGCAAATGACAGATTCTGATAATAAGTGAGATGACCTGTAGAGGGCAATCATGTATAAATACCATCAACAGCAGCATAGTGTACTAGGTGTACTACATGGCTTGAATAGGCCGTGTACTTGTAATGTAAACTGGATCTCATCTCTATCATCAACTTTGTATCACAACAGTAACAACTTGCCAGACTGATTTAAGCCTATGTGATTTTTTTATTTGTTTGGCTTTCAGGGGAGGCTGCCTGTACGCTGGATGGCCATTGAGTCCCTGAACTACAGTGTGTATACGACCAAGAGTGATGTGTGAGTTACAGTTTGAGCTCATCTGTTGAACTAACATAAGTCCTGGCTTTAACTCTTGCACTCACTGCAACAGGTGGAGTTTTTCAGGGTAGGCAAAGCTCTCTGTGTTTTTTACACAGGAGTTTAAACACCTGGAGCATTATGTCTGTATTTGAAACCACTGAATCAAAATGCAAAGATATTTCTGAGAACTTCGCACATATTGAGTAACATGGCAGGCTTTTGACGTTGCAAACTTGAAACCATTGGCTAAGTGGTTTACAAACACTTCCTGGATGGTTGATAGTTAACGATAATCAACAATCTTGATAAGTAAAGATTCTTCCATCTCATGTCTTCTTCAGCATCACAGTAACCTATTTAAAATGATTTCAGCCTCTAGTGAAGTTTTTTTCAGTTCATTATGTACACCACATGACTGAAAACAACAAATCATCCCTCTGTCACTGGTGGAGTGATAACGGTGTGTTGTGTAACTGATAAGCACAACCAGGAAGCTCTGGGTACAACTAAGCAGACAAACTGAGACGTTAGTCTGTCAAGTGGAGCCTATTTATACATAGCAAAAAACAAGTTAGAAGAGGCTTAGGACAGCTAACGGAAAAGGTTTGAAGGCTGCCTGTAGGGCCAAAGAGAGTTGTAAACATTAGTTAAGAGAAACAGAGTGTTAGGGAGAGACAAGAGAGCAAGATCTGAGACAGAGTGAGACATTGTGCACAGAAGCAAAGAGATAAGCAGGGACAAAGGGACAGGCCGACAGCACAAACAACAATTGTCTGATCAAATTATCTCACACCGCATCATAACATGTGACTAGTGGTGTTTCTCGTGAATTCAGTTGATAATCAGATAGCAGGAGAGCTGGTGGTTTCATGTTGTTGAGACATTCAGTGGTTCCTTATCAGATCCCATGCATATTTATTTAATTATAAAAATGTTCAAATGGAGTCGTGCATTTTTTTTTTGCAAGGCATTGTAAAAACATGACAATCACAAGGTTTTACAGGTAACAGCAGCATTTTTAGCTTTAAAATGCATAGTTTTGAGGGTGACTGGACTAAAGTATTCCTTTTTTTTTTTTACTTTTAACCTTAACCCACATATGATCAACAAAGGAAGACTTTTTCAGGTGTTACTAATGAAATCCTTCCCATTTTCCTTCTATGTCTTCTTTCGTTACATCTTCTTTCCCAGGTGGTCTTTTGGTGTTCTTCTCTGGGAAATTGTAAGCTTAGGTAAGTAAGTACCCAGCCTTACATCTATGCAAGCTTTTAAACCCAGGAGCTTTACCATTTCCTCTCATTTATGTAAATTACTAACGCTCCAGATTTACTCTTGCTAAGAATCCTAGCCTCAAATACCAGCTGACAGGCCAACAGAAGTTCTATCTCTCTTATACAAGAATTGTAGTAGACATCAAGAAATTTTGCAATTTGTTTGTCGTATCATATCATCATATATCATATCTACATTTAGTTGTTTCTGTGGTTGAATTTATGGTAGGATGATGACAACTATCCTTATTGCTTGACTCACAATCACCTCATAATCATAATCAGAAACGCATTCCCTCCCCTTTTGTGTGTGTGTGTCAGGTGGCACACCATATTGTGGGATGACATGTGCTGAGCTTTATGAAAAACTGCCACAAGGCTACAGGATGGAGAAACCCAAAAACTGTGACGATGAGGTGTAAGTACTCAGCATTTTGTAGCTATTGATTATCTTATTCTGACTTTTTTTCTCCTCTATTTTAGAGCATTCATTAATGTTTCTCTCCCTGTCTAGTTATGAGCTGATGAAGCAGTGCTGGAGGGATCGGCCCTATGAGAGACCCCCCTTCTCCCAAATCTCTGTCCAGCTCAACAGGATGCAGGAGGCAAGGAAGGTAATGCTGCATTCACACAATGTCAGCAGAAGGGGAAAAATAGGAAATTGCCCTGTTGTTACCACTTTGGAGTGTTCAAACATCACTCAATGATGGTTACCCCTTTGGTTTGAGGTTATAGTAATTCAGATAGTTAGAAACACAGTCTAAAATTGCTATTTTGTTTGTCAGTTTACATGTAGGGCATTACTATTTTATTTCTAATTAACACTGAACTGCAAATTGTAAGTTTGCAGCCAATTGGCACCAGTTTGTTGACACTACTGTAATTCTTCTTACTAAGTGTGGGATATTACAGCTGTCATAAATTCCGCTTTCTCCCATTTCTTATATGTAATTACACAGATATGTAATTAGCATGACGTGAGGGGTTCATCCCACTCTCCAGTTCATGTTTATGTTTTGTATTCTATGACATGATCACATTATAAGGCTTAAGCATTAAGGATCAGATGGAGTCAATATACTTCTAGCATGCTAAATTATTGCCAAATCATTTTTTAAAAGCTTGAATAACTCTTTTTTATCCATCTTCTAGGCTTATGTGAACATGGCTCTCTTTGAGAACTTCACCTACGCTGGGATAGACGCCACAGCCGAGGAGGCCTGACTACCAGTCCCCCCAGACCCTAGCATGCCACATAGCCCCATGAGGAAGTCCCGAGGATGGTCGCCACGTTACTGCCACCTTCCTGCCTCTCAACGCCGAGACAGGAGGACCAGGCGCTCTACCAAAGCCACCCAGCTATAGATGGAGAACTGTGAAAGGACACTGTGTGGAGGTATCAGAGACGTTAGAGATGTGGAGTATTGCTGGGCCTTGGATGGAGAAATGTGATTGCCACTGACTGGGAAATATTGAGCCCCTATCGCTACAAAACGCTCCCATGAAAACGACACAACATTGTACCTATTGCTCCTACAAAAGTTACAATGCTGGACTCTTTTCTCTGAGTGTTGAGGAGAAGTGGCAAATAAGGAGCTATGTGACTTGCTGAAACACCACAGGGTCTGTGGGGTGTCAACGCTGGACTTAATTTTCTCTCCATTACTCTTTATGGAGAAGGAAATATTTTCATTAAGATGAAATTTAAAGGACACAGTGTGGATCATAAACATTCAAGCTCTCAGACTTAAAAAAGGATGAAAGACACATACAATGTAGCACTTAAAACCAGCCTCATTCATGCCATCTGTGTCTTTTACTGTTTGCCTATCACTGCCATGTGAATGTAACTATTGTATGTATTTTGTCTCTTTTTAAAGGTCAAGTAGATATATCAAAGACTTCTATTCGAATGTAGTTACAGACCGATATAAATGCAATCATGGTAGATTCACCATGTGTTGCATGCAAAGCTCCACCACAAGTTGTTTGGAAAATGCTACTAATACAGAGCAGATTCACAGCCAGTGTACTCGCTATTAGTTACCTTTAACGCTATGAAACCTAACACAATGTATGGTAATATATCCATTATAGGAGAATGTACAGTGTGTTTTCATTAACTGATTCCTTAAATAAAGGTTTTGCGTGGTGACTGGACTCATCACTGCAAGCAATTGGTCCATTTGCATAAGTCCAGTTTTGCAAAGATTACTGTGTTGTGTTTTTGTTGTTGGCCTGCTTAGTAGTAAGCATGGTGGGGCAACCACAGGCTAGGCTACTGGGGGCCAAAGCAGAGAGTTCAGGAACACTGATCTCCCCTTCTGCACAGAGCTGATCTGTCAATGAGTTTCCTCCACAAACCAACCGCAGGCACAGGACTGTCTGTCAAACATGGTCTCAGTTGGCCAGCTTCCTGACGACTCCCACACACAGACTACAGGCTACACAATGCAAATGTGTAATAAGAGAAGATCATCATGACATTTACTTATTTATCTTTTGAGTAGCAACCCCTCGCCCTCAACCTTAATGTGTTAACTTACTCCTGATTTGGCCACATTAATGTAATAAAAAGGCAAGCATTTGGGAAGAGGGTCTAAACCTATTCAATCTCCTATCCAGCAACAGGGGCCTATACCACGAAGCGAGTTCAAAATACCCAGGATATCTTTTAGTTATCTAGCTTAACTAACCCTAACAATCACATGCAGGGAGACAGCCAACAGTGTGAATACCTAAATTAACAGGCATAGCCTTAATGCACTGATTTGATTCTTACCAGCTGTATGAAAATATAAGCCTTACCTCACCTCGGCTGTATGTCGGCGTTTACACATTAAAAGACTCCGGCACTGAATAAGTGGTCTTCCACCTCACTTTAAAAAACTTCTCATCATTTCAAAAATGAGATTAATTTATGTAACACACTCAAAAGTGTTTCAAACATTGTTCTAAATTAACTTCATTAAGCATTGAAACGCAAAATCCATTCATGCCATAAAATGTGCTCAAATAGTGGTTGAAAGACTGAATCTCAATATTTAGGTTACTGAAAACTCATACCTGTGTCCACAACGCAAAGGGTGGGGCAGAAGACAGGGTGCGAACTACGTGACATGACAACCCAGAGTTGAGACCAGGAGGCAGAGTCGCAGTTTAACACACTTCTCTGCCCTTCTTTTTCAGCAGTTACCCACCCAAAACCCTACGCAGAGTCGCAGTCTAACACACTTCTCTGCTCCTCCATTTCAGGAGTTACTTAGTGAAAACCCTATAGTGACGGTGTCTGTCCCCCGACCATCGAAATTATTTAAAAAGGTAAACAGAAGAGGAGCTGTGCATAAAAACCTTATAAAAATTAAAACCACAAGAGCAATAGTGCAAACAAATAGGAGAGTTAAATGTGGACTCTTAAACATCAGATCTCTCTCTTCTAAAGGTGTACTAGTAAATGAACTAATATCAGATTATGATATTGATTTATTTGGTCTTACTGAAACCTGGCTGGGTGATGGAGAATATGTTAGCCTAAATGAATCCACCCCTCCCAGTCATATTAATACTCACATTCCTCGAGGCACAGGCCGAGGAGGTGGAGTTGCAGCTATCTTCGACTCTAGCCTACTAATCAGCTCTAAACCTAAACCAAACTATAACTCATTTGAAAGTCTTGTTCTTAGTCTTTCGCACCCAAGTTGGAAATCACTGCAACCAATTCTTTTTGTTATAGTGTACCGAGCACCTGGCCCGTATTCTGAATTCTTATCTGAATTTGCAGAGTTTTTGTCAACTTTAGTCCTTAAAACGGACAAAGTTATTATTGTAGGGGATTTTAATATTCATGTAGATGTTGAGAATGACAGCTTCAGTACTGCGTTTATCTCTTTGTTAGATTCCATCGGCTTCTCTCAGAGTGTTCATGAACCGACTCACTGTTTTAACCACACCCTTGACCTTGTTTTGGTGTATGGTATTGAAATTGAACATTTAGTGGTGTTCCCACAGAATCCCTCTTTATCCGACCACTGTTTGATAACTTTTGAGTTTGTATTGCTGAACTACTCGCCATTGGGCAAAAATTTCTATACAAGATGTCTGTCTGATAGTGCTATAGCTAAATTTAAGGATGCGATTCCATCAGCTCTAAATACATTATCTAGTCACAAAGTAACGGAGGACTCCTATGCTAATTTCAGTCCCTCCCAAATCGATCATCTTGTTGATAGTGCTGCTGGCTCGCTGCGAATGACACTCGACTCTGTAGCCCCTCTAAAAAAGAAAATACTAAAACAAAGACGGTTAGCTCCATGGTATAATACTGAAACTCGCAAATTAAAGCAAATATCACGGAAACTTGAGAGGAATTGGCGTTCCACCAAAGTGGAAAATTCTCGTTTAATTTGGCAAGATAGTCTTAAAACTTATAGGAAGGCCCTCCGTAATGCTAGAGCAGCGTACTACTCGTCATTAATAGAGGAAAATAGGAACAACCCCAGGTTTCTTTTCAGCACTGTAGCCAGGCTGACAGAGAGTCACAGCTCTATTGAGCCAAGTATTCCCATAGCTCTCAGTAGTTACGACTTCATGAGCTTCTTTAATGATAAAATTCTAGCTATTAGAGACAAAATTCACCAAGACCTGCCCTCAACTGGCACCGACTTATCTCTAAACTCAGGAACCTTAGAAACAGCTGTAGAACCAGATACATGTTTAGACTGTTTTGCTTCCCTCAATCTTACCAACTAACTTCAATAATTTCTTCATCTAAACCATCAACCTGCCTCTTAGACCCCATCCCGACTAGGCTGCTTAAAGATGTTTTACCCTTAGTCAGCACCTCTATACTAGATATGATCAATCTATCTTTATCAACAGGCTATGTACCACAGTACTTTAAAGTAGCTGTAATTAAACCTCTTCTGAAAAAGCCCAAACTTGATCCGGATGTTTTATCAAACTATAGACCTATATCTAACCTTCCATTTCTCTCTAAGGTTCTGGAGAAAGCAGTTGCTAAACAGCTGTGTGACTTTCTACAGAGCAATAGTTTATTTGAGGATTTTCAGTCAGGATTTAGAGCTCATCATAGCACAGAGACAGCACTGGTGAAAATTACTAATGACCTCCTTATTGCATCAGACAAAGGACTTGTCTCTGTACTGGTTTTATTAGATCTTAGTGCTGCATTTGATACCATTGACCATCAGATCCTATTGCAGAGACTGGAATATTTCATTGGCATTAAAGGAACCGCTCTAAGCTGGTTTAAGTCCTATTTATCAGATCGATTTCAGTTTGTACATGTTAACGATGAGTCCTCCATGCACGCCAAAGTTACTCATGGAGTTCCTCAAGGATCTGTCCTTGGACCAATCCTCTTCACTTTATATATGCTTCCTTTAGGCAATATTATCAGGAAACATTCCATAAGCTTTCATTGTTATGCAGATGATACTCAGTTATATCTATCGATCAAGCCAGATGAAACTCATCAGTTAGCTAAACTTCAAATGTGCCTTCAGGATGTTAAAACCTGGATGAGCTGTAATTTTCTTATGTTAAACTCAGATAAAACTGAAGTTATTGTTCTGGGGCCTAAGCACCTCCGTGACGCATTATCTAAAGATATAGTTTCCCTGGATGGCATCGCCCTGGCCTCCAGCACCACTGTGAGGAATCTTGGAGTTATCTTTGATCAGGACATGTCGTTTAAGTCCCACATTAAGCAAATTTCAAGGACCGCCTTTTTTCACCTACGTAATATTGCGAAAATCAGGAACATCCTGTCTAAAAATGATGCAGAAAAACTAGTCCATGCATTTGTTACTTCTAGGCTGGATTACTGCAATTCCTTATTATCAGGCTGCTCGAAAAAGTCCATTAAGACTCTTCAGCTGATCCAGAATGCTGCAGCACGTGTTCTGACAGGAACCAGGAAAAGAGATCACATTTCTCCTGTTTTAGCTTCTTTGCATTGGCTTCCAGTAAAATCCAGAATAGAATTTAAAATCATTCTTCTTACCTACAAAGCTCTTAATGGTCAGGCACCATCTTATCTTAAAGAGCTCATAGTACCTTACTACCCCACCAGAGCACTGCGCTCCCAGAATGCAGGGTTACTTGTGGTTCCTAGAGTCTCCAAAAGTAGACTAGGAGCCAGAGCGTTCAGCTATCAAGCTCCTCTCCTGTGGAACCAGGTTCCAGTTTGGGTTCAGGAGGCAGACACCATCTCCACATTTAAGAGTAGGCTTAAGACTTTCCTCTTTGATAAAGCTTATAGTTAGGGCTGGCTCAGGTAGTCCTGAACCATCCCTTAGTTATGCTGCTATAGGCCTAGACTGCCGGGGGATTTCCCATGATGCACTGAGCTCCTCTCTCCTCTACTTTCTCTCCCTCTGTATGCAACCTTATCCCATTATTGCATGTTACTAACACAACTTCTCCCCTTTCTGGTAGTCTTGTGCTTTCTCGTCCCTCTCCTCTCTCCTCCTGTCACTTCCTGCAGGTTTTCTGGCTCTGGAGCTGTGGAGTCTGGATCTGTGGCTGCGGGTCGCCTGCTGCCCCCGTGTTCCTGCTCGACACCCTCTACTGCAACGACTATTGTTGCTAGTCTTATTGTTATTATAATCATTAACATTACGATGGTTACCATTAACACTATTATAAATATCTGTACCATTTTTCATTTAGTTTATAGCAACATTACCTTCGCTGTCTGTACCTCTGTGTGTATATTGTGTAGGCTGCCTCCCTCCCCTCTCTCTCTCCTTACATCCCTCTCTCTCTCTCTCTTTCTCTCTCTCTCTCTCTTTCACTCTCTTCTCTCTCTCTTTCTCTCTCTCTCTCTCTCTCACCCCAACCGGTCGAGGCAGATGGCCGCCCACCCTGAGCCATGGTTCTGCTCGAGGTTTCTGCCTCTTAAAAGGAAGTTTTTCCTTGCCTCTGTCGCCTAGTGCTTGCTCTTGGTGGGAACTGTTGGGCTTCTGTAAATATCATCACAGAGTACGGTCTAGACCTGCTCTTTTATGAAAAGCGCTGTGAGATAACTGTTGTTGTGATTTGGCACTATATAAATAAAATTGAATTGAATTGAATTGAATTGAATTGAATTGAATTGAATTGAATTGAATTGAATTGAACTACGGGGGAGCCAGTGGGAGCTTAGCTCCCCTAAAGAGGACACCATCTCCCCTAAAAGCATGATTTGTGATATTTTGGGGGGTCTCTAAAATATTGACAGCATGCTTTATTGCCATTGATTTCTATATTTCTCTATCATCACGGATCCATGCGTCAGACTTCATTCAGCCAGAGAGAACGATCACCGACGGTCCGCAGCGGGCCGATCTCCTGGCCCTGTCCGCTCCACTCCGTCTCCGGTACTACGGGTTGTGTCGTTAGTACGGCCGACGCGCTGTGAACTGTTTGTGATCGTTCCTTCTGGCTGGATGAATATTAGGCATGATCCATGCACTAGTGCAGCTGGGGGCTCTCTGCAGCGCCACGCAACTTGTCAAAAATTCTTCCCTCTCACAGAGGAAAAAAAAGGAAGCGTAATTGTAGCTAAATCTCTACATATGATAATATTAATAATTATATTTGTATAATTAATAAGACAAACATGCCTCATGCTTTCACAGTCAGCCCAGGCCTACATGCTTACAGCTATAATGATTCACGAAAAAACTAGCTTAAGTTAAGGTGCCCAGTAATAGGGCCTAGTGTTTATTTCTACATATGTTAAGTTAGTGTTTTGAGCATTCTGAGCATATGGACAAGCTTCATGTGGACATTTTCCTTTTCGCCCATTTCCCCATTTGTGACCTCAGCACATAGGCTACTTTAGACAGGTTAGTCCGTAATTTGGCCACATATAGCCATCTTTAAGCAAAATCAAAGGTTTATCTAGCAGCAGGTTATATTTTCAATAGTATGTTTGTAATCCCGCCAATGTAACCTGTCTGCCTGGAATGAGAAAATGTCTGTGCGAGCAAAAAGTTAGACCCAATTCAGACTCTACTACAGCTGCTTGCCACTGACATAGTTGGACTGACAAGTTGTTTTTGCTATGGGCAAACATTTTGTGATGCTAAGGAGACAGGCCAAAAAAGTACTTTTGAAGATGCTACATGTTGATGGATAAAAAAAGAATGCTTGGATTTTCCCTCGAGTTTGTTTGGGGAACGCTATGTAGTTAATATTATCATGGAGTAACATTAATTTATAGTGTGCTGTGGTCATAAATGGTGTTAGATTAGAGAATCCAAACTGACTACACCATGGGGCAAGCTTCAGTTTTCAGAGCCATCTTCAAGCCTATTGGTGGTGGGTGTAACTGAAAATGTGTTTTCTTTGAAGGGACTCCTTTAAATATGTATTCTGTGTGTAAACTTGACAAGAGACACATTTGCTGGTTTATATCTTAGTTGTCTGGTCTGGTTTTGGCAGAAACAGTTATGTTCATATGACAGGTGACAACTCGTCAGGGAGGAAATATTCTGAAGCAGTGTTTGGCTAGGTTTAAAAATAACCCTATCATCATTAACATGTCTTCTTCTCAAAGTTGTAGGTACTACTGAACTCCATATATTAATTCCTACATTGTGTGAATTAAACTGAACCTGTTGTGGTGGCAGCCCGGCTGACGGTGAGTGTCCTGGTTTTTTTCTCCTTTTTATCAGTTATTCTGCGTTTTCCTTGGTTTTCTGTTCTCTGCCTGCCTCCCTGTGTTTTCTCCCCTGTGTGCTCTCTCTCCCTCTGCTCCTGAGCCCAGCCAACTACCTGCACCTGCATCTCATCAGCCACCTCGTCAGCCTGCCACACCTGCCAGTAATCAACCTCATCCCTGCCTGTATTTCAACCCCGGTTCTCCACACCATCCTCGCTTGATCGTCGTTGCGCCATACCCGGTGCCACTTCCGTGTTCAGGCTTTTCATGTTTCTTGTTTTTACACATTTTCCCTGTGCTTTGTTGCCGTCACCTCTAACCCTGTCTCTCTGTCTGTTTCCCTCCCAGGTACACTCACCCTCGTCCTCCGTTCAGTCGGCTGGGCTCATCCACCGGCCCTCTCCTCCTCAGACTACCCCCCCACGTTGTCCTCCCTGTTCACCCACCGCTCCTCGCTTCCTCGGCCCCAGTGTTCCCCGGCTCCCTGGCCCCCAGTCTTCCTGGTTCCCCGTGCCTGTGTTTCCCCGACATCCACCTCTCCCTCCCCTCCAGTCCCTCTACCCTTTATCCCTCAATAAACCTCCTTCCCTCAGAGTGCTGCTTTTGGGTCCTCTGTCCCCACGCCACACAACCCCATAACAGAACCTTTTATTTTGAAACGTACGGCATTACATTTACAGTAATACCTCTCCTCCAGTAACTTCCTATAACTGGATATACCCTGAACCTGATTGGGTAACAGAAACTCACCTCTTGTTCCAGTGACCGTTGTAACTAACACTGGTTACTACTACTACTACTACTAGGGGCTCTTTGTGATCCTAATCCAACTTCTCCCTTCTCTGGCTGTGTTGGCAATGCTATTAGCTGAATAAATGTCACAGATGTCTTTGTCTAATATAACAGTATAACACAGGGTAATACTGTACATGGCTAAGCACAGGGCTGCTTAACTTTGGTCAATGGTATGGTAATTTTGCTTGTACTATCATTTCATCATCATAGCCAATTAAATGATTCAGCACTACCCTTTTCCTGTCTCTTCAGTGTGATGACCTGAGGTGAATGTAATGCGAGTTGAAATCTTTCATTTAATATAAATATTATTTCTGCTAGTCCAAAATTGATAATCCTGCTGCACCTATCAAGTTTAATTTAATAATGACAACAATGATTCAGTGAATCATCTATTGACATTATTGTTTGCAATGCCAGTTATGGCTGTTTGGCTGGGTTAGGGGTATTGTTTTAGAAATCTTTGATTTTCTCTGAAGTCAGAAAATCACAGAAACTTCTGGGTAATTGTCTATACAATTTTCAGAAAAGCTTCATTAAACGCAGGGTGCCACCCCATGTGTTGGTAGAGATTTTATCAGTGTGTGGCAAGCGCTCTCTGCAGAGAAATATGTTTTCCTGTAACTAATATCTCATGATCACAAGGTTCATTTTTAGTGTGTGCAGCTAATAATTATTTTTTTGAGCATGAAAACATTCCCTATCAAAAAACATCACTTTTGATTGATTATGATACAGTCAGGGTCTTACTCTGTTTTACAACTTTTTCATGGCTGCCCAATGGCTGACATCAACAAAGGTACTATTTTTTTTTTTCTGAAAGGCTTAACATACTGATCATAGTGAAAGATCAAGTGAAAGACAATTACAGTGTGTACCTCTTGAACCAAGTGCAGAGTAAAGAGGCTGTATGTCATTCATCTGCATGCTCTGCTTTGCATCCACATTGTCTCTTACCCATAATGCCATGGTTATGTCCTCAACTTAACTATGGTCATGTGACCCATTATTCTCTGTTATGTTAGTTGAAATAAAACTTTTTTAACTAACGTCATTAAAAATAGCACATTTTATTTTTTTATACCCCTTTTAGCATTATCGTTCATATGTATTTTTCATTGTTGAATGGCTGTATGAAGTACTATGTACTAAAGTAATCATGAATTTATTACAGAACATACAAAATAAAGGTTTCAATGAAACATGTCACTGCGACAGTTACGTCATTGTCATAACTATTTTCTTTTGTCTATAAAATTTCAGAAAATAGTAAAAGAAAAAAGCCTGTCACAATTTTTCAGAGCCAAAAGTGGCATCTTCAAATTGTTGTTTGTCCAACTAATAGTCCAAACATTAGAATGATAGAATGAAGTTTGATTAACCAGAATGACCAACCTTTCTGTAGACAAGGGCCCTCAAAGTTGAACCATATTCTACACCACCAAATATCTTCTTCAAAAATAAACACAACAGTATTGTTTTCCTCATTCTCAATACTTTTAGTCCTAAATAAAAAAATGTAAATAAGGTGCTTTTTTGTCCTTAAAAGTGAAGGTCTGCGATCCTGGAGAACTCCAATACCATGACAAATACCATGATAGAGCGAACAACGACACAGCAATGTAACTAATGTTAGCTAAGCTGTGGGTTAGCAAACTGTCACTACAGTTGGCGCTGTGAAGCTATAAAATCATAACATTTTGATTGGAATTTGTCATGTAAGCACTGAACTACATACATGAATAGGGTTAGGGCAGGAAGTGTGTCAATTGAAAATGCATAAGATCTGTAATGTACTTTCATAACTAAATTGTATACATATGGAATGAAACAATCGATTCATGTTTGTTGGGGTCAGTATACATAAGACAGACTAATAAAGGAGGAAATTGTCCTTTCAGTTTAATATGCTTATATACACTGTTGTTGTGCAGTAGGTCAGGATGTGGTAAATCAGCAGAAGCTGTTTTGGCAAGTTAACTCAGAGGGTCTAAGCACTCTTGTGTATTGTGAGACTGACACAGGGTCTGAAGTATGTGGACACAAACAAACTTTAAGCTTGTGGGACACTCCACATCAAATCTACTGAACGTTCTCCACTCTTGTGAATTTTGTGATGTTCATAAAGCCTTTGTTGGTGATTAGTCTGTCTCCATAATCTTGATTAAATAGCTTTTATTTTAAATTAAGAAATGCTATTAAGAGTAAGGGGAAAAAACTGCAAAACCAGCCAGATAATAGACTGACACATGTATGAGGCTTCATCTCCAGTAGCATCTCGAGTGTGTTATTGTGTCTTGTTAACTGAAATGTATGTAAATTTAACTATGTAAATCTATAATTTAACGTCTACTCTGAATCAGTCCTCCCAAACTGCCTTTTTTGGTGCTTACTTCCACTGTACACAAAGCATACTTCCTGCTCTAAGCAGTTCACAACTAATCACACTGGGCAAAACCCTTAGCATTGCTCAAGCCCACCCACTACCCACCCATGCACATACACATGCACAAGCATGTGCTGTGTTAGTTTAGATGCCATGCTGGTTTAGGATACATAATTACTCATATCAGTCTACCATGAATTGGCCCTGCAGATGGGAGATGCTCCTTATTACCTTGTGGATACAAGTGGGATTTATGCCTGGCATACATTGCAAGGATGGGACAGTCGGTCATCTGTTAAGGGAAGGTAATCATTTAATTTTTGTCCTTTTGAAGAACACTTTGAGTCCATAACTGCAGGGATGTATTTTGAGTAGGGGGTGCAACGGTCTTGACTGAACCAACACACATGCAACATGCATATCACAGCACACTGAAGTGATGTCAGCCAACAAGTATGACAACTAGAAAACAATTAAGACCCGTACTTTAATGATTGTCTTAATGAACAACACAGGAGTAGCGTTATTATTATTGCATCATGTAAATCAGCATGATGCACAATCACATGTCAGCCAAAAAGACCCGTAGATCATACAGGCATAACATCATGCTTTACAGTGCAAAACAATATTTCTGCAGGCCAGCGTCACTGAATGAAGTACAGAAACGTCTCCACAGGACACAAATACCAGCAATATTATGAGTATCAGTACAACAATTGACAAATATCAGTAAAAATGACTAAATAAAATGTGTAACTCGAGAAAAATAAATTAAAACTAAGCAAGAAAACCCAATTTGAAGTCAGTCCACGTAACAGCTCTATTTTTCTCATTTACTGTTTATTTCCACAGAAAATTTTGTCTGTTACATACAGAGCTCACAAAGTCCCAAAATATGTTTTTTTAAAGACTTGTGAAAACAAGACACTTTGTTGTAGGTAGTTTTTATTGTGCAACAACCACTAACTTAGCTTGTGGGGGGGGGGGGAAACAATGTTGCCGAAAGTAAATACTATAATCTGAAAACTATTAACTTGTGGGAACAATGAATGGGTCTTGTTCCTAGAAGGTGACACACATTTCACAACCGAAAGGTATTACTGTACGACACTAACGTCTCACCACAAGTTAACATCTCCTTTGCACGTTTTGCATGTTGAAAATACCATCTTGTTTGATTTTGAGAGACATGTTTTAGTTCAGGAGTGCTCATGTATTATGTTTGTCACTTCTGTAGCAGATGTTTTACTCTTAAAGGATGAGCAGGATCCTAAATGTTTCACGCGGACACAAGAGGATTTCACTTGCTTCTTTGAGACTGCAGACAACAGAACTTATGATTTTCTCTATGTCTTCGACAGGTATGTTAGACACAGTGATTTTATAGTTTGTTATATTAAGGGACATCTCAAATCATTTAAACAGTACTGTGGGGGGAATCTGAATTCTGAATCATTTAAGGAATTTTCTTTTTAAAATGCTACTCTTTATCTTGGCTTCTGGCTTCTCTTTCCTATATTCCACAAGAACAGTTCTAGAGGAAACTTCATAAAACAACTCACATCAACCAAACACTTGTATTGTTTTTATGTTAATTATGTTTCACTTTAAAGCTTTAAATAATAATAAAGGTTTAAACTTTTTATAATTATTTGTTTACATTTGAATCGTGAACATATTTTTAACCTGTAATAGTCTTATTAGTCACCCCTAAAGCACTGCACTCCTGTGTGAAAGATGATTGAATGATTAATATGTATACAATATCTGTTATGTCTTTTTCTTATCAAGCCAATCTGGAAAGAAAAGGTGTGACATGTCTGTTCAGGCAACAGAAGAGGGAACTTTCCTCTACATCTGCTCATTTCCTGCCGAGGATGTTTTGTTGTATATTTGGATACACCTTGACGTGGAGGTACACAACACCAGCACCATCCTGTACAACCGGACTGTCGCTGTGGAGGACCACAGTAAGAAATATGTATTTCCTCAACATACAAAAAAAGGATGGGGAATAGGTGAATCATTTGGAAAAAAAAGAAAACACACTTGAAACTATATGCATAAACATTCCAAGCAAGTAAGTGGTCCTTCGGTCATAAAAATATAATTTTTGTGGATATCTCTTAGCCAGTATTCTTTAGTTTCCCATCCCATCTCTGAGAAAAAGCTCAAAGAAATGACAGATGGCCTAAATTTCCACCTTTTCTGGTGGTGGTTTTGCTGTGATTTATGATTCCTATTTGCAATTATGTTTAAAAACAGACTAGATTCTCATCTTTTCAGATGCTGACTATACTGTACACGATATCTATTAATGGTTTTAGGGGTCCTGGTCTTCACACCCTTTGTTTTTTATCATGTATCATTAGAAAGGAGACTTCCGTGGAGAGAAAGTCTTACTTTACAGTACAAGATCTATCCTCCTGAAGTGCATCATTCAGAAAAATAAATTGAGTCTAAATATAATATGCCCAGGCTCAGATTTATTGTACCCATAGCCTTTCACAAACCATTCAATCATGTTTAGGGGTTTTAATTGCTCATTGGCTCATGTCTGTTTTTATAAATCTGTGATAAACAGATTTTTATTGCTTGTAGGTTAACTCTATTCAGTCACTGTAAAAGATCAGGGGTTACGTACTGTCACCCGGATTCTATGAGTATAGGCGCAGCCCTCTAAAGCTGAGGATACACGGAGCAACTTTTAGAGCAATCATACAGGGCAACGTTGCCGTCAATGGTAATGAGTAGATTACCGGATCCCCTTCCCCGACTACTCCACCACTCCGCCACCCGCCCTGCCGCTATCCGTTCAAAACATTGTCGGACTTGCCACTAGCAAGATTGCTCAGCAACATTGCTCAAAAAGTTCCCCATGTATCATCAGCTTAAGGCTATCGCTATTGGGTTTACCCCTTCCGCGCGCCTGGGCGGTACTGAGAATTTTAGTCTACGCCCACCCACAGCGTGGGCCTCTCCTACGTCCGCACCTTGTGTATATAAGCTATACTACTATACTAAACTAAAGGGGACAGAGCGTTTGCTGTCAGGGCCCCGAGGCTCTGGAACAGCCTGCCCGAGGAAATCAGGTCGGCTGAGTCAGTGAACTCTTTTAAGTCCCTTCTTAAAACATACTTTTATAGGAGAGCTTTTCCCAATCTTATTTGACTTTATTTTATCCCTTTTATTTTATTGTATTTTACTAATTTTATATTAAATTTTCATGCTCTTATCTTTTTTTTGTATTATTCTTTACACTTGTTAAAGCACTTTGTAACTTGTTTTTGAAAAGTGCTCTACAAATAAGGATTATTATTATTACGGTGAGACCCAGCCTTCGGCTCCCAAATGCATTTTCTTCAGCACTGGGAACCAAGGTCCAGTGAGGCCTTTAACTTAGAGGGCTGCGCCTATACTCACAGAATCCGGGTTCCGTTCTATTTCGTATAGGCTTCGCCCTCTAAGGCTGTCGCTATTGCGTTAGAGGCGAAGCAGGATGTGTCAACGCCTCACTGGCCCATATGGTACCACCAAGCACAACTCACCTGCCCAGAGCCATGAGCCACCCTGTCACCCGCTGACCGCGGAATTGGTGGCGGCGTGTGCGCGAGCACCGATGGCGCCAACCCATGCGTAAGTAGATAAACTTTGGGCGGGCGCAGCTGTACAGACGCAGGCGGGGTCACGACAGCAACCACATCAGCTGCGCACAAGGCAGGGCCACGTAAGCAGCGGCCGCCCCCCACACCGTCCCGTGGAAGAGGGCGCACCGCACACTCACAAGGAGAATCATTCAGCCAAAACACTCAGTACATCCCGCAGGTAGAAACGGACGAAAGCGCATGGGGACAACCAGGAGGCCGCCGTGCAGATGCAAACACGTGAGCCTGGGAAATGGCATCGCACAGCCAGTGAGACAGGCGCTGCGCCAACAGGGGAAGTCCCTTGGACCGCTCCCTGTAGTGCACAAACAGACACTGCGAACGGCGCCAATGACAATTTTCCATTTGGTAAATATGATTCTCCATCTCTCTCTTGCATCCTGGTTTGGAGGACCAAAGAGCGAAGGAAGATATGCAATGCTGGAGGGATGTTAGCTATATGGAAAGCAGCCAACAAAACAAGCAGGGCTAGCTGATTGTGGGTATCCCCAGTGGGCCCAGGTAGCATGGAGGATGGATAGTGTGTCCTGGTTCTTTGCTTGGATCTCCTGTCAATAAGGCATTCAGAAAGACGAGGGGCCTCCTCACCTGTTACCTAAACACCAGTAAATTATTTTCACCAATGGATTCTATAATGCGTTTTTCCTTATTTTTCCATCACCTTTTTGTCTCCAGCTCTCCTGGATCCGCCATTCAATGTGTCTTTACAACAAAATGGCCAAGTAGGGCAACTGCAGGTCTCATGGCACACAGATGTCTCAAAATACATGAAAGGCAATGTGATGTATAGGATTCGTTACTCCTCCAAGGGGCTGGGAGAGAAGACAAAAGATGAGGTACACATACAACTCTTGTGTAAATGACTTTTAAATCAAACTCACATAATGTGTGTGTGATTATAAAGACAATTTTATAATCACTAAGTACTGGTATGCCCAGCATGCAGGTTAGTATGATGGGCTCTTGTCAGTCTGTCATTTTGAGCCTCTAGAACATCTAATAATGTTAATTATGCCGTCCTGAAACTGACAAAATCTAGTAAAGGGTTATCAGACCAGTCAAAAGTATAACTAAATACATCAGTAAATAATATTGTAAAAGTAAATAGAATTTATAGAGTAGAATAATATAATTTATTATAGTTTTTAGATTTCATTTGAATTATTTAACGGTATTAATTGATGTAATTAGTAATTTCTATGACTCATCTTTTACTTATCTTTTACTGCCTGTTTTGGGGCCAAGTTATCATTCATTTATGATTAATTAATTAATTAAACACATAATTGATTTGTTTATCTCCTTCTCCTTGAACAAACATGTTTATTACACTAAACATTGTAGCCTATATATTTTGTGGTTCTTTCTCATTGAGTATTTTTCATGACCTTCAGTCACCTGTAGGCCTGTGTTGGTAATTCGAGCTGGTGAAATTGAGTAAAATTGTAAAATCTATGATGTTTGTGATTTCTCTAGGCAAAGGAGGGTGACGTACTAGTCTCTCTGGTACCAGGGGAAGAGGTTGAGGTCCAGGTCACTGTCAAATGTGCCCCTAATACAAATGCAGGACACTGGAGCAGCTGGTCACACCCTGTACGAGCCATGGTTCCCCAAATGGCAGGTATGTCTAAATGAGAAGAGTGGGAATGTCTGAGTAGATGACTAAGTAAGAGTTGAGGGGAAATAAATTGTTATACATAGCACAACTGCGACCTCTTCTGTCAGAGTTGCAATACCAACAATACAAAATGTTTCCCTTTTTCAGGTGATGTTTCACTCGTGTGCTACACTTCTGACATGCAAAATATCACATGTCAGTGGAATACGAGCAGATATGGTGAAAAGAAAGAGTACAAACTTTTCTACCAGATGAGTCTCAGGTGCAGTACTTGCTACCTTCTTACATTACTTCATTTCATCATTGATTCATCAAGTCTTCAGATCTCTCTATGATAATGTAACAGCATAGTTATATTGAGCTTTAGTGTAATACCAAATTGTACTCACAAAGAGTACGGTTTAGACCTGCTTTATTGGAAAAGCTAGATAACTGTTGTTGTAAATTGGCGCTGTATAAATAAAATTGAATTGAATTTTGATTACATGCTCCACTGTAAACACTAAAACCATGGCATTACTTTGAGCAACAAAGGCATAATGTTGCAGACTATTATGTTATGCCAACTATTTTTCCACTCATGATTTCTTCATTTCACATTGAACGCTGACCAAAACAGTAAACAAAATGTGTTGAGGCTCTTTGGATTGATCCCCTAAACACACAACTGACGTTCACTTTGGCTGTGATTTGACATGATGATATTACAACCTTTACAGTGAAGCTTTGGGCTGGACAGACTGGACTGAGTGTCATGCTGACAGGAAATTGACTGAGCTGTGCCGTTTCCGTGGAGATGAGTCCAGAAAAGTCAGGATCAAGCTCAGCGGCACTCCATCTCCACTCAGCAGAACCTTCTATATTCAAAAGTTCACACTCAACAACAGCAGTGAGAGATTTTGTCTTTGTTCCTTTTGGATGTACATTTTTTTACCTTTTTATTTGTTGTATTAGCTGAAGAGTCTTCATGTGATGTGATGACATTTGAAATAAAGGAGACTAAAAATAGTCCTCCAAACTACTTAAAATTCAGTTAGATACAGTTAGAAGATACAGAGGAGGATGTCCAGAGAACTTTGTATAATTAGGCAGTTCTATATACATACTATACTATCTATCTAAGCTCCGCAGCTTACCTACATTACTTGCAGTTAATGTAGTAGTAGTAGTTTAGGAACGGCTGTGGCTCAGGAGATAGAGCCCCAGCCTTCCGATTAACAGGCAACCCGTGTTAATCGGAACGCCGTAGGTTCAATCCCTGGCTGCATGTCGAAGTATCCTTGGGCAAGATACTGAACCCCGAATTGCCTCTGGTGGCTGTGTGAATGTTAGTTTCTGTTTGAGCACTTAGGCTCAGTGTGTGAATTGTGAATGCAGATGTAGTGTAAAAGTGTGAGTGAGTGGTCAAAAAGACTAGAAAGGTGATATACAAGTACAGAACATTTACATTTCGTAAGAATCCTAATTTCCACCTCTCTTGACCTCTTAATTTTTTCCATCAGGTCTCCATGTGGTTTGTGTATTGACAAAGTATGTGTGCATTTCTTTTTTCAAGTCAAAACATCCCCACCAAGTCATCTGAGAGGAGCACTGGAGAAAGATAAGTTGTGCTTGAAATGGGACGTTCCTCTTCAGTCTCTGTCAGATCACCTGCAGTATGAAGTTGACTACCAGATCAGAGGGGGTGAAGCAAGGATGGTAAGATGACAGTATCAGTTTATGTTTGGTTGTTTTTAATGGTTGAGATACAAAGATAGTCTTGGGCCATTTTTTAGGATTATTTGTTTCTGAAATACTGTGTTCCCCCACACCTTTCAGATTTCCTTGCAACATTGTTTGCATTACTATTCTTAAGAACTGTGTAGAATTATATGTGAATTTAGTATCTTTAAAATGAATTGATGGCATAGGTTTTTGTTTACAAATAAATAATGGTGTGGGTGGTTCACGGTCATTCTTGATATTACCACACAGATGAAAGGAAACTTCAATTTGACATACATTGACAAGTGACAACAAAAACAACTGCATTAAAACACAGTTTAGCAAGGATGAAGGAACATGAGTATATTTCAAGGGAATGCAAAAGAAGTATATAATCATTTCTATTTAATGTACAGTGAATGTCAAATCAACCTTTCTGTCCTCAGAGGGTATCCCCAAATAGACCTTGTCTAGAGGTTCCAATAGGTGGCCGGTACAGTGTTAAATTACGAGCTAAACCTAATGGATCCATTTACTCAGGCGACTGGAGTGACTGGTCAGATGTGCTTACTGGTGACCCCCCCACAAACATAGGTAAGCTCACACTGAAACTGAATTCAGTGTAAAACACTTCTTTTTTGTAATCCGCATTTGTTTGTATAAAAATTAAATAGTAATAAAAAGTGTAAAAATGCAATGCAGCAGTCTTAGTCTACTGTTACTTTGTAAGAACTTCAGATTGATGTATTTTATCTAAAATTGGTTGAGTGATAATTGTAGTGGTGTAAAGTCGCTGCTATGCCTTGATACATAAAATCTCAACATGAAATGCGTTCTTTGTTACTCCAATTAAATAAAAATATTGGGCACCATTTTATATATCTATAATATAAATAACCTTTACAGGCACTTTACTCATGCTGTGTATCCCTGTCCTGCTGCTGATAACTGCTATAATCCTCCTCTCTTTAATTTACACTCATCTCAGGTAGGACCTTTTTCAACATTTTTTTTATTCCAACATACTCCATACTCTTTGTCATTTTATATTCTAAAAGTAATTTCAACATTCAACAACTTTACTGTGTGTCCAAAGGTTTAACCAATTATTTCCCCATATTGTTTGAAGATTATTTTCACATCTGTTATTTTGTATATTGTTGCAGTAAGCTTAAACAGTATTTTGGCCGCCGGTTCCCAACCTTGACAAAGTCCTGCAAGGCTTTCTAAAAGAGATCAACGGGCAGAGATGGGTAACTTACTTAACCACAGAATTTCACGATACATGCACCATTACATTACACACATTATATGTAATATAATGTGATGAAACATTTTCCCACAAGTGGAAAAAACAGAATTTAGCCTTATACATGCAAAATAAATAAAACACAAGTAATAACAATATATAAAGATTGATACAACCAAGTCACTAAAGTCTAGTTTACGCTCAATTACAGCATTTTAAATGTGCATTGGTGTCCCCAGTTGTAAAAAATTTATTACTCTGTGGTCACACTCCAGAATCCTCCGATAATGGCAAAGCAGTGCTCTGAGGAAACCACTTCATCTGTGGTGGAGGTGATGTCAGAAGAGGTTTCTGGATTGGGAAGCCATCAGAGGAATTCACAGAGTTCCTGTTGCCAGAAAGTGGCTTCTCCAGCAATGAACATGTAGATGGAAGTCCTGGGACTGAAGTCTTTCCGGACTATGTGACTCTGAGCAAAGACAGTGTTATTGTTTGCCCAAATGGAAACTATGTCTGCAAGCAGGTTGGAGAGAAAGAAGGCCCAGAGGTAAGAAATGAGCTCCTCCAAAATGTCACTCTTCCTGCACTAATGGCTCAGTTTTCACCCCACTCTGCTTAGGCACTGACTTTCTTAACCATTCCTACTTTCCTCTGGCTGAGCCTGCAGACAA